TGGTGGTGGCAGCAGTAGTAGTAGCAGCAGTAATAGTAGTAGTCGTAGTCGTCGTCGTCGTCGTAGTAGCAGTGGCAGCAGCAGTAGTCAGTCGTCGGTGTCGTCGTCGTCGTGGGAGCAGCAGCAGCAGCAGTAGGAGGAGCAGCAGCAGCCGCAGCCGAAGCCGAAGCCATGCTAGAGTAGCCACAGCATTAGCAGTGGCAGCAGTCCTCATCGCTCAAGGGTCAGTAATCGCAACATTTCAGCAGCAGCAGCATCATAGAACTTGCAGGGCCATTCGCTCATCCGAGTCGCTGGTCGGATGTGCAGGCCGGCACAACGCCCGCATGCAGAGGGCAATCTGCACATACCTCCCACTACCAATCGCAAGGTGCCTTCTAGGCCTTCTACTGCAGTAACTGCAGTAGGCTTCTACTGCAGTAGTCACAGTAGTAGATTTGGGAGCACAAGAGCGGCATGGACTCTGCTTTGCCCACGTCGGATGGCGGGCTGGAGGCCATGAAGATGACCAGCCTCGCCATGGCCACTCTTCGACTCTACGCTCTCCGGCGCACACATGTGGCCACTGCAACCGAAGCTTCCAGACATACTGCAAGAGCTCCCATGGGAGGGCGCGTGGAATTGGATCGGTGCAGCTGGCATCGAAGACGAAGGTCCGGAAGCCTTCTCACGGTCTCCAAAGACAAAGACGGCTTTCGCAGGGACTGCCGTAGGCCGTAGGCCTGCGCCGAAATCCAGCAGCTGACGCCAATGTCCCACTTCCAGAGGCAGCAGCGCTCGCAGGATGGCAGCAAGGCGGTTTCGGAGGTAGGTCTCGTAGAACCTATACTTATGCAGGGACGAGACGAAGGACGGACTGCTCCCCCGCAAGGCCCGCAAGTCAGGGGATGATCCAAGACGAGCTGCTGCCGCAAGGCCGGCTGCCAGAACTCCGAGAAGCCTCATTTGCCAGGCTGAGTCATGCTCCACCGGACTCACTTCTGTCGCCGGGAGTGGGACCGAGCCGTGGCCTTTCCGCTGAAGGCGGGGATGCCTCCCACAAAAGCTTGTCATGGCCCTTGCTCTTTGCATTAAAGCGAGGCGTCCTCTGGCTGCCTGGCTAGGTTCCGAGACCTCCGTGGCTTGCCGTGAGGGTGACGGCGGCTGATCCTCCATGAACTGCCATAAAAGCATCAGTTGCGATGAGTATACGGCCGCAGGGGACGAGACGGAAGAAAAAGGCCTCCGTCTCAACCTCTGCCGGCCGCAGCCTCTGCTCCTGGCAGAAGCCACAAGCACGAAAGCTATCGGCACAGCTGGACATTGCAAGGCTGAAAGCTCCAGCCTGGCACGTCGAGTTCGCGAGCGGAAGGAGAGGCTCGTGCTCGCCCTTCTCGCCATGCTCGGGCCTCGCCAAGGCGTGCGCGGCTCCTCTGAGGTCCTTTGCCTCTCCTTTCTTCGTCTCCCGGCCTCCCGTCTTTGGCTTCGGGCGCCTCTGCCTCTGCCCCGGCTGAGGAGGCCGAGGGCGCCAGGAAGGCCACCACCGGGGGAGGCACGGCACTGGGCTGAAAGGCGACATAGCGGATCATCCATCACAGGAGCCTTCATGCAGTGGCCTCTAAGAAGAGGGTTTGGGGGCCTAGGGCCGGTCGGGGCTCTGGAATCAGACGACTTTTTAGTCAGAGCCTGCTAGGGTCTACATGGGTCTGCAGTGTGTGCTGCACATGCGAAGACTGTAACGAAAGCCGCTGAGAGATGCAGGAATCCAGAGGGTTAAACGTCATGCCCGGCACTCGGCGACTCGTTCTTGTTCTTTTCGAAGCGCTTCTTGGTACGGTACATCTTCTCGGCTTGTCGGGTGCCCTGTAGTGCCACTGCGACCAGCGACCGTGCACCGCGCCATGGCGCAGCAGGCGCTTTTCCTTGTCGAAGAGGTCTGACCGTGGCTTGATGGGCTTGGCATGTGAGCACCAGAGAACGGCGATGGTTGTGGGGGGGGGGGGGGGGGGGGCGGTCTCAGTTTTAGATGTCCACCAGCACGTAGCATTCGTAGGGGAAGCCAGGCTTCATCGTACCCCCATCAAGCGGGCAATCGACCTGAGAGCTCGCGATGAAAAGCGAAAAGCCAACTGTTGCGGAAGACTGGTGGAGTCTGGGTGGAGTTGAAACGAGTGCAGTATTATAGTGTTGTAGTATAGTATCGTATATTACAGTATTTTTTTGTGTATTATAGGATTATGGTATTATAGTATATTGTAGTATTATAGTATGTCTTTCTTAGACCAGCCGAGTCGCGCGAGGCCGAGTGCCTGCCTCGGTGCTGACCTCGGTGGGCGTCAAGACCTTCATCTGGTGCATGGTTATCGCCTCAAGGGGGAAAGGGGTTTAGGGTTTAGGGGTTTAGGGGTTTAGGGTTTTTTGTTGTTGTTGGCCGGGCCTTTTTCCGCCTGGGTTTAGGGGTTTAGGGTTTAGGGGCTTAGAGGTTTAGGGGTTTGGTGTCTAGGGTGGTCTCCCAGTGCCGTGAAGAAAGCATGGTGCTGGGCTTCACTTTGCGCCGGGCCTTGATCTCCGTCCCCTGTGGATGCTTCTTGAGGTTGAACTTCCTGAGCAGCTTTTGGCAGTGCCCATCTACACCCCCAAACCCGAACCCAAGTTCATCTGCTTCTAGAGATGCAAAGTCCTATGTGCACAGATCGGAATCGCTCAAGGGCATAAGGTGCTGCCACAAGCGGCTCCCCGTGACCTCTAGCCTTCGCTCGCAGGCTCGCCGTGTCAAGCTCCAGGAGCTCTATTCGCCGGCAGACCACAAGCTCGGTGCTGAAGCTGAAGAGGAACCTGTCAGTTTGGCTACACAAAATCCTACGTAGCTCTCCTAGCTCTATCCTGACACCCGAAGTCTGGTCTACCAAGGACGATCCAGCCGAAGCTGCTTTAGGGGCACGAGGACCCCGACTTCTACAGGTAGCATGCCTCAGAAAGAGGGCGGCAACATGAAGCAAGCCCGAGCCGAGGGACTCGTCCAAGAGGTGGTACAGGAGATCCGTCATGTCGTGCCCTGACGCCTCGACTTCCACAGATGTCGAGAGACTCACGGTGTCGAGATCTGTCAGATATGCAAAGAAAGCAACCTGAGCTGGCTCCGACACGCGTCTGCTCACTGAACAACTACAACCACATATTTCACCGGTCCCTAGGACCTTTGCTTCGACATTGGTTCATCCTAAACTTCCTGCTGCAAGTACCTTCGAGATGGAACTCGACAAAGCCTTGATAGCGAGTTGAACACTAGTAGTGCGCAAGTTTGAGACAGATGCTGATGCTGAGGCTTGAACGCTGCTACTGGACTGTCCCAGGGTGTGGAAAGAAGCACGGAGTTTCGAGCAGGAGAGACAGCCCGCGATCACTGCAACGGTGTGGCATGCCTTACTGTAATGATGCCTATTGACCACCGGGAAGCACAGCATTGCGCAAAGGCTTCCTCCAGTGTCTGACCCCAAGAGTGGAGAATCACATCCGCCGTGTGATCCTTGTATGGAGCAAGGCTCTGCAGCTATGCCTGCGCCTCCAACCCCGACACAGAAGGCCTGTCAAAAAATTAGTTACGCGCGGAGGAGCTTTTACACCATTCCGAACATCCAAGCGTCCAAATACTCGAACTGCCTTCGCTCCTCTTCAAATTCCAGGGCCACGCCTGCATCCGCCACGCTGGGATGTGGATCCTGAAAATTCGACAACTCCTCGACTGCGAGCTCCAGCACCGCAGCCTTGCTCGCCTGGACAGCACGCCAAGCACAGGCCGAAAGGCATTCGCAGTGAACCCACGCCTTTTCCTCGTCGCACGCCGTCTCCGGCGCCTTGCGTCGACGCCGGTGCCTAGCGGGCAGCGACTTCATCACCAGGCCCTCCACCTTGGAGCTGGACCAGGGCTCTTGCAAAAGGGGAGCAAAGGTGGCCCAAGGGTTGCCTCCACGGTGCTCACCTCCTCCGAAGGCAGCGGAAGCAAGCCATAGAACCTCCCGTGAAAGACTTGACAAACGAGGCCAGGTGATGAGTTGCACGCCACAAACAGCCTCCCCTGCCCCTCGCCTCATGAGCTCTTCCGCCTCCGCTCTGGCAGCGGTCACATCCTCTGGGACACCACAAAGCGTCAGCCTTCGGGCAATGTGGCAAGCAGCATACAAGGAAGCGATGCCCACAGAAGTCGCATTCGCCAGGAGCCCCCCAATGATGTAACGAGCATGCTCCCTAAACCCTAAAGGCCCTTTTTTGAGCAGGGACTGCCCTAAACCCTAATTCCCACAACATTTTGGACAGGCTGGGCAGATCTGGGCAGCACTCTGCAGGTCGCCTTGCAGAGGCTGTAGTGGCTTCTGGGCAGTGCAGCTCCACCTGATGCCGAATGCTATCTTTTGATTCTATTCCATTCCATGACCGCTTTTTTAATTAATGATCCCCAGAACATCATGACGCTTTCCTGCATCTTCAAAGCCAATAGCCCAGAGTGTACAGGAGTTCAGACTCCAAGCCGCTCGCAACTCGTGATGCGCTGCGAAGGTTTGCAGATCGTCATCCAGCGAGGCCCGCATGTCTGGGGCCAAGTCCTCTTCGGCACATGTGGAGGGTATTTTTCGAAAGCTGTTACAGAATATCAGCGTGCATGCAACGAGGGGCGCGAATACAGACGGAAGCTATAATACGGTATATAACGGCAATCAATATAATGACGTGTGATCAGAAATATAATGCGAGCAAATGAAGATGTGAAGAGCAACCGCAGTAGTGCCCAGAAGAAAGCATGCAGTAGGTGTTGCAAGGCTGTCAGGTCTTCTTTGAGTGAAAGCCCGGAGGGGGGGGGGGGGGGGG